AGATGTGTATTGGGATATTGGATCCGTGCTTCAGCAGCCTAATTTGCCTGCTGCTGTCTGTGTCATTAATGTTAATCAAACAGCTAAACAAAAAGAACAAATCACTCACTGCTCTTGACTGAGTAGCAATGCGTTGTTTAATTTTTACATTTGGTTATACAATTATACCCCACAGATGTAGAGGACATAAAAAAGTACCTCATTGTGGTTAAGATTTTTGATGCCAGTCTTGGGAGAGTAGTTGTGATGTTGATAAAGTTTTGTGAATCAGAAGAGTCTACTAGGAAAGAAGTATTTGAATTGCTTGATGGTGAACTTAAGAGGCATACCAGTTTTCAATTAATTATATGACCAAAACTTTGAACATGTGTAAAAATGTTCCCAGCAATCAGAAACCACAATCTGAACTGAAATTTGATTTCTATTCAAACATGATAACAAACAGTAGTCTTTTCCTCAAGAATATATGATCGTACCGTCTTCTTCATAACCGATTTTAATGACCGTGCAAAGTAAAGTGCTGCTAAAGCATGTGAACTAAACACAACATGGTACTCAAATTTCCCAATATTTGGCAGGTCTGCTATATTAAAGCGTTACAGCAGGGGAGTCTAATCCTGCTCCTGGCGAGCCAATGTCCTGCATGTTTTAGCTCCAACCAACTCCAACTTGCTTGCCTGGAAATTTCTAGTGCAGTGATCCTCAAATCTGGCTCGCGAGATCCACTTTCCTGCAGAGTTTAGCTCTACCCTAATCAAACACACCTGAGTTTGCCAATCAATGTCTTCAGGATCATTAGAAAATCAGAGGTAGATTTGTTTGATTACAGGGTTGGAGCTAAACTCTGCAGGAACATGGATCTCGTGAGCCAGATTTGAGGATCACTGTTCTAGTGAGTCAGAAGACCTTGATTAGCTGGTTCAGGTGTGTTTAATTAGGGTTTTGAGCTAAACTCTACAGGACAGTTGCCCTCCAGGAACAGGTTTGGACATCCCTGTTTTTTACAGCATTTTTGATCAAATAAATGCAGTCTTGGTAAGCATCTTACTGACCCATTTTGAAAGATAGAGTATAAACTAGAGCCCGACCGATATGGGTTTTTTGGGGCCGATACCGAAATTTGGGAGTAAAAAAAATCGATATCGGTATATTGGCAGATATTCTTTGTGTATATTATAGTACAGTACCAGTCAAAAGTTTGGACACTTTCCCATTTGTGTGTCCAAACTTTTGACTGGTACTATATATGGAATACAGTATATACATAAACAGAATATATGACCTCCTTACTGAAGTGAAAGTGTTGGCTGGTGTTACTATCTCGCGAACGCGATTTCGGATCTCCACCAAATTCGGGGGATCCCTTCAGCTCAAGGAGCCCTCTTGAACGCCACCCTCCGCGCATCGGTAGCCCCCCGGGATTGCTAGATCAGTCGGCGCCGGACCGCGAATTTAACCGCGGGTAACTCCCGAACCCCGGGGGCTATCAACGCGGGGGTGGTCTCATTCGAAAGAGGGTCTCGAGACGTACACTCGTTTCGCGTTCAAGAGGGTTCCTCGAGCTGAAGGGATCCCCCGAATTTGGTGCGGATCCGCCGCGCCGTTACGGAGATATGGCCGTTCAAAGTTTCAATGGTTTTCCATTGACTTAAGCTTTAAAG